CCAAGTTCGCAGAGGAAGGTGCAATGCGGTGAGGGAGGCTGTGGGGCTCCGGGCCACGGGGAGAGCCCCTACCTTTTGGGCTGGGCGACACCCGCCGCGCGCCCTCGCAGGGCGTTTCGCACGGGAAAATCACCGCGGAGGGAAGGCCGGGCAGCGGTGGGTGGCTTCAGGACAGGGCAAGAGGCTCAAGTTGCACAGCCAAGAGGACACTCCCATACCGCCCCGGTTTGTTTGGAAAACTGCCCAGGAGAAGGAGAGGGGCAGCCCGGTACCCCCACCCCCTTCCCCGCGGCTGGCAGGCGGCAGAAGTAAACACATTTGCTGGGCTCTAGCGGAGATTCTGTGACACTGGGCGGAGCGGGCGTCCCTAGCCGATAGGGACGGTGTTCAGGGAGCTCTAGAATTCATGGGCTCCACTCTTCAAGGGCAAATCTGTTGGTGCTTTTTATCTTTCGGAGATGTTCTTTTAGGGAGAAGGACGAAGTTAGGGGCGTGCATTTTCACAAGTAGCTCTCCCTTGAGAAAAGCCTCTAACGTCCTCGTCCTCGGATTGCTGTGAATACTTTTTAAATTTCAGTGTGTGAGATAACTCATTGTCTAACAGCATTCAATTAATAACTCCAGCCTTTGGACACTGAGCATCACAATCACATGCTATCAAATGACTCCGGAGAGAAGAGGCACGGACAGGGGTGTGATTCAAAGCGGGCGCTGTGCCATGCACTGAAACCAAGTCCTTCTGCGTGTTCACAGCAGTCCTAGGAGGCAGCACTTGTTATTTTCCTAGTTTTAGTTAAAAACCAACCAAACAAAAGAACACTCCCCCCCCCAAAAAAAAATAAACACAAAACTGAGAGAGTTCAGAAAATCCCTCCTAGACCTTTTCCTGTCTTGAAGTTGCCTTTGAAGTAACACACACAGATATTGTCGTCTTCAAGGTGGCTCCGGAGACATCAGGGTGGTGAAAAACGTTTAGGAAAGTTGTACTTCTGGGTTAGTTTTTCTTGAGGCTACTTTGCTCTTTTAGCTTCGCCTGAATTCCTTAGTATCCTTCTCTTGTCGGTGATCTTCAGAGTAAAGTACCGCGGAGCAGGAGCAACTTCCCTGCAGCTCCGGAGGCGCTCGGAGAAGTCGCCTGGTCTCTGGGCCCCAGCGCGGAGGGCTGCGCGCTGGCTGGCGGGCGTGGGGCCTTTGGGCGGCACTGTGCCCTTCCCTGCTGCCAGGCCTGGGACTCAGCTACGTATTTGCATATGTAAATAACCATCCTGTTGATTTCACCAGAGGAATTATGAGTGCATGAAAAAGGAGTTCAGGTTTCCCAGCAAGCTTATTTGAAACTTTATAAATGATAGTATCTCCATATTCTACTGGTCCTATCCTGGCTTCACAGGTGTTAGTAGCCTAGTCTCAGGAGCCATATTTACTCTCCTTCTAGGCGCTGGAAGGGTGGTGGGAGGGGGGGACTGGGGATCAGTAAGTCCTCAGCACGTGAATGTGTAAAAAGCTCTTTGGTGGAAGCCATAATTAAGACAAATAAAAGAAAATAATTGCAGCATATTATTTAAGATGGTTAATATCCAGAATATATAAAGGATTCCTATAGACCAGTTTTTAAAAAATGACAATCCATTTAAAAATAAGACCCTAGGCCAGTGGTCAGCAAACCATGGCTCGCGAGCCCCATGCGGCTCTTTGCCCCTTTGAGTATGGCTCTTCCACAAAATACCACATGTGGGTGCGCACAGACAGTGCGATTGAAACTTCGTGGCCCATGCGCAGAAGTCGGTTTTCGGAAAGGAGATAGACAAAACCAGTGTGGATGGGAGAGTTGGAAGGGATCGACCTCAGCGAATGTACCTCAATCAGATTAAAGACATTTTTAGCAAAGGCCAGCTTAGGAGCACCCTAATGAAGTTAATAACAATGTACCTACCTATATAGTTTAAGTTTAAAAAATTTGGCTCTCAAAAGAAATTTCAATCGTTGTACTGTTGATATTTGGCTCTGTTGACTAATGAGTTTGCCGACCACTGCCTAGGCTATAAAGCAAGCAATTCACAAAAGAAATACAAATAGTCCACAAATGTGCACAAAGATTTTAGTGTCTTTTTATAACACTATTTAGGGAAATGTAAACAATGATGAGAAATCAGATGGACAAAAACTAAAAAGGCTAATGAGATTAATGAGTTTTGTCGAAGGTATCAAGGAAACTATTGAAGGAAGTGTAAAGTGGTACTTCCTTTTTAGAGAACCATTTGGTGATTGCTATCATATTTACAAGGTACTTTTGGGTTTGAATTTCAGAACCCTAATTAAGTTTCCTTAACTTTCTTCCTTTGAAGACAGTTTGACCTCATGCTGACAAGCAAGGTAAGAAAGAGGACAGGGAAGGAAAAGACAGGAACTCTCTCAGCAACTCCCTGCACAGAACACACGCACGCACGCGCGCACACACACACACACACACACACACACGCACGCACGCACACGCACACAATGACAAAGGTCTTCCTCAGGAGCTGGGGAAGGGGGCAGTCTATGAAACTGCCCTGTCTTGGAGCAGCTTGCTCATTCTCTCATTCAGTCGTGAGAGGAGTTAGAAGGCTGGACCCCTGTCCCAGCTCGTGGGTCCAGGAGAGAAGGGAGAAGTCCCACTCTCCCCTTCTGTCTGTGGAGATGCTCTTCTAATTTCTACTCCAGGACTGTGACGGACAATTCCATCAAAGCATTACAGATGACTTTATTCAGCCTATTTCTGTAAGTTCCACGTTAGCTAACATCTTTGTCCCCCTAGGTGGTTTCCAGGGAGAGAGAGCTATACTATTTCACTTCATGGGAGTGTGTTTTGGAGGATAGATCTCTAAAAGTGAGTTGCTGGGTAAAGCATATGTGAACCTACACTCCAATAATTTCCTAATTTACTTTTCATGTTCAGAAATTCACACTTTTAAAGAAAACTCTTTCCACGGCACTCCTGACGCAGTGCAAGGCGGAGTCACCAGAGTGAGCTGTGAGTGGTACAAAAGCTTCCCTACATCTTCCAAACTCCAGTCTGCTATGAATGCATGTATCCTTCACGCCACCAGTTTGATTTTCTAGGACTCCATCCTGTAGAAATAATTACACATAAACACAAAAATAGATATAGGGATGGTCACAGCAGCATTGCTTTTGGGGGAGGAACAAACTGTCCTCTACCCTCAAGGTTCTTCTGGCTGGTCTAATAGCCAAATAGACATGAGACAGATGAGCAAGAGAAAATAACCAAATTTAATGTATACATATGTATGGGAACCCCATGTACACGAGAGAGTCAAAAACCCCACCTGCAGGAAAGGTTCAGAGATACAAAGGGAACATCAGTATGTAAGACATCCTGAGCTAGGGATGAGGTAAGGTACCTCAGGAGTTTTGGCCACTGTAGCTCAGTTGGTTGGGCATTGTCCCGTGCACCAAAAGGTCTCTGGTTCAATTCCTGGTCAGGGAACATGCCTGGGTTGCGGAGATTCCCGGTGAAGGAGGCAGCTGCTTGATATTTCTCTCCTTCTCCTTTCCTTTCTTTCTAAAATCAATAAAAACATATTTTTAAAAAGAAGAAGAGCAGAACTTTAGTAAATAGAAGTTTGCCCTGCCCTATAGCTAGGTTAAAAAAAGTTATATCTGATAATCTCTTATGGCCTCTAGTTGAAATTCTTCTAGGTAGTAGGGGGTAGGGAGGAGTTGAATTCTCTCTTGAGCCTTCTGCTAAAAGTTGCCCTTAGCTCAATACATTCTGCATACAGAGGCACATCTTAGGGTGACTCATTCTGAACCCCCACACTTGTAATTCTTAAAAACAAAAAAAACAGTGCCCAGGAATACAGTGACTGATAAGATTATCCTACTATTGAATACAGCTATTATAAATGTACATATACATATATTGGGATGATAGCTACTGTATATTGGTTTTAGAAGGTCTACATTTAGGAAGTATTTCCTGTGTGATTCATTTAGATCAAGCAGAAAAATAAAGAACCACTTATGTGTGTGGATGTTTTTGTGAAAACATAGGAAAAGGTTCTGAAGGCTACACACCAAAATGTTGACAGATATTTCTTCTACAGAGTGAAATTATAGGGGCAGAGAGGGAGTGAGGGAGGATTTTTGCTTTTTAAGTATTTCCAATAACTTGAGCTTTTTATAGTGTACATGAATAACTTTTTAAGTTGTTTTTTTTTTTAAGATGTGTTTGGGAAAAGAAAATAAAAAAACCCAAAATGAAAACGCACCGGTGTTTTGGCAAAAGTTTGAACTCTAACTTGGTGATTCCCTATCTGCATGCTCATCATCCTACATAATGCATTTTTTTCCAGTCAAGAGAGATCAAGATAGAAATACCAGGTGAAGACAAAACAAACTAAAACCCTTACAGCAACATTGAAAGAATAACAAAAAAATCTACATGAATTTTGTCTTTATTCTGGAATGGGGAAAAACTCAGTGGGAAAGAAGCTTGAAGAAAAAGGTAAAACATTTTACTTCATAAGAGTTTGGAGCTTCTAAATGACAAAACAGACCAAGAAATAAAAAGACGAGCTGGAAAAAAATATTTGCAACACATGGCAAATGTTTAATTTTCATATTATACCAAGAGCTCTTTGGGGGAAATAATATAGAATGTAATAGAAAAATAGGCCAACTACATGGACAAGGAGCTCTCTGAAGAGAAAAATAATATAAACATTATTTAATTAAACAAATATGTATGCCTACTCTGTTTTAGGCACTGTTCTAAGTATATATGCAGCAGTAAAGGAAGAAAACAGATAATAATTCTTGCCCCCATGGAATTTTCATTCTAGTGAATTTGATGAGTCTTGACTAATCAGATTTAAAGTTATGTATAACTTGCACTTATTGGTAAAAAATTGTGATTATTAAAACTAATTGTGGCCCTGGCCAGGTGGCTCAGTTGGTTAAACAGTGGTCGGCAAATTGCGGCTCGCGAGCCACATGTGGCTCTTTGGCCCCTTGAGTGTGGCTCTTCCTAAGCCTTAGGAGTACCCTAATTAAGTTAATAACAATGTACCTACCTATACAGTTAAAAAAATTTGGCTCTCAAAAGAAATTTCAATCGTTATAC